CTTGTCACCACCCCACTGGCCCCAGGATGACCTAGAGAAGGGTGCACCTGAAATGAAGCTGACTTGCTTTCCTGGGTGAGTCAGGATAGGCTAAGTCATGCTTTTGTAAGAAAAAATATGAGCCCCCTCCCTCAAATCCCAGTGGTTTAATTTGTTTGCGTGCTGCCTATTGCTTTGGTGTGGGAGGTACCTGGATTGGCAGCATAGTATTTGTATTGTGAGGTCAATTGATGAAATAGAATGTGATAGAACTTGAAATATTGAGTCCCCTTTAAATTTCAAAAAACTTTTAGGACTTTAACATCATAGTAGTTGTATATTTGGTGTCTACTGAGAAAATGAAACATGACTAAAATACTATTATGAATTCAGAAACACTATTATATATTTAAATAAAATGTTTTATTTGATTAGTCAAATAAATTTAAACATAGTATATGCAATTGCATATGCATAGACAGACATTTTCAGTGTGTAAATGATTCAGTATCAGACAGTGCTTCTGGAATATATGGTGATTTCACTTATTCTTTCTTATAATATACAATCCCAGGCTCACAGGTTGGCAACCTCTGAATTATAAGTTGAAGATTTCAAGAAGATATGATTAACCTGGGGCACAAAGTCTTTGTGAGAAGAGTTACTGAAATAGTATTAGAGTATAGGTTTTTCTGTTTGTTTGTTTGGACAGAAAGATGACTTAGGCAAAATATTCTTTTAGAAATTACATTTACAATGTTTGAAACAAAAATGGAGGGGGAAAGCCAGAAGAATGGAGGGAGGATTACTTCCTATAAGTACTACTTCCTATAAGAATAATGTGATGAAAAATGTGACCTGTCTTAGTGCGAGACAGATGGGGTCCAGAAAAATTGGAGACCAAACCATAGGAGCAGACCTTGGTGATATATCTCACATTGCCAGCAAAATTCACATAAAGTTGAGATTAAATTCCTTAAATCCAGAGAAAGATAAAATATGCTTTAGATGAGGTAAAGAGACATTGAGGTATGGGTTATCTGCATTTTAGTTATTGACAATGCAATAATTTATAATACATAAGTAATATCATGTAGGGTTTGAGAGTACTATAACTTCTGGAATAGTTTATGCATTGTAATGTAACATTTTAATATTCTTTACTGCCTCAGATTTCCATGAAAGTTGTCTAAAATAAATGTTTACTTGAGATCTTTTAGTAAATGTGATAACTTTCTGTGAAAAGGAAAAAAAATCAATGCCATGAAATTCATAGTTTTGTTATGTTTAAAGTCACTTCTTTAAATTCATTCATTTAATAAAAGCTTTGTTGAGTGCCTACTATGTGCTAAGAAATGTCCCAAATTGTGGTGATAGAGCAGTGGTTGAGACAGAGTTCATCCCCTTCTGTATCTTTTATTTTACTGGAGGAAGACAGAAAAGTATTTAGTTAACAGTTAGTGATCATACTGTGGAGGATAAGTTGGTGGTACATGGCAGGATGACTCCATTAGATTGGTTTGGTCATAGAAGTCCTCTCTGACTATTGAATAGCCAGAAGGAAGCAGCCATTGGATGTGTGGAGGAAGGATTATTGTAGATGGAAGAGATGGTGCAATGACTCTAAAGTGAGAATGAGAATGGATTGTTCCCAGATAAGAAAGAGCCTGGTTGGAATCTAGCAGGTGAAGTGGGCAAGTGAAATGATATGAGGACAAAGAGATCGACAAGGGCCAAATCATTAAGGGCTTTGCAGGCCAGGATAAGAGATTTGGGTCTTATTTTAAGTTCAATAGAGAGCTACTGGGTGGTTGTATGCAAGTGTGTTACACCATTTATGTTTCTAGTTTTTGTACTGGTTGCTGCATTGGAGAGAGGGATGGAGAAGATGAGAAATGACAGAGCTTGAACTGGGTGGTAGTCAAGGCAGTAGAAGGCCTCGGGTTCAGAATAGTTATTGCATTGGGTTTGAGAGGTAAGGGAAAAAGAGGAATCAAAGATTTTTGGATTTGAGTATATTGTTGAGAGGAAGAAGATGGTTGAAAGGCATAGAGAAAGGAAAACATTAATATTAAGTGTACTCTTTTGACTGTGCTGGATTTATGACAGCAAGCGGAGATGTCAAATAAGCAGCTTAGTCTCAAGCACTAAGGAGAGGTCAAGTCTGTTGATGGAGATTTGAGAATCACTGGGTTATATTATGGCATTAAAAACCAAAAGTTTGGGTGAGAATGAGAACTCCCTGGAGGAATTTGTGGTTATAGAAGAGAGAGAGGCGTAGGTTAAGCACTTACAACATTTAAAGGTAGGTCAGAAAAGAATGGCTTAGCAAGGGCGATAGCTTTGTTTTCTGGGTTTTTTTTTTTTTTTTGTCTTCTAAGAATATAAAAATCTTTCTTAGAATCTTTAGTCTCTAAATAAACTAGAAGACTATTCTGTGAGTTTAATAATGCACAAAGCCATTGGGTACTAAAATGTAAATACAATATACAGTTGAATTTTAGTGGTAAATCTATTTTGTTACTGCAAAAGTTGAAAAGTGCGTGATTAACACAAACAAAATCACACTTCTGGAAATTATTTAACAGATGAACATATTTGGGAAAAGTAAGGAATGTAAAAGGAACAAAACAGTTGTCAAAAAACACAAACAGTAAAAGTCAAGATATAATTATAGTTCTATTCCTTATGTGGGAGAAGAAAGGAAAATGAAACATAGAAAACTCCATCCTAGAAATACCTGACAGGAGGAAGAAGGCTGACGTGCAAAGAAAAGGAGGGAAACATAAAAGAAGGTAAAGCTATGTAGCTGGTCCATAGATTTAAATAATTAGAGGGAGGTCTGGCAGTAATCTTTGTGCTCTACCCCAACAAACTGCAGGAACAGATAAGGCGTAAACGCAGTGTGTTTTAACACCAGGTGATGAATTCTGTGAAAGTTAAAATCCCACCATTTCTATAACAGCCTACCTGCAGAAAAGTAAGGTAAAATGGGAATTAGGCTTCAAGACTTCTAAAACCCAGTAAGACTAAGTATTTCAAACAATTTAAAAGCATTGTTAGTAGAATCCCGTCAATTGGGAGCATAAAGTACTGGTTTCATTTAGAGTAAGTTTGAAGCCATGTAGCCCCCAACTTAAGTATCAAAAATAAGTTCAATTTTGAAGTTTCTTTTTTTTAAATATGTAATGACTTTTTAAATTTAAAAGGATTTTTTTCCAATTTCTCCACATCCTTTATTTTTTTTAACATTTTTTATTGATTTATAATCATTTTACTATGTTGTGTCAAATTCCAGTGTTCAGCACAATTTTTCAGTCATTCATGGACATATACACACTCATTGTCACATTTTTTTCTCCGTGATTTATCATAACATTTTGTGTATATTTCCCTGTGCTATACAGTGTAATCTTGTTTATCTATTCTATAATTTTGAAATCCCAGTCTATCCCTTGCCACCCTCTACCCCCCTGGTAACCACAAGTCTGTATTCTCTGTCCATGAGTCTTTAGATTCCACATATGAGCGATCTCATATGGTATTTTTCTTTCTCTTTCTGGCTTACTTCACTTAGAATGACATTCTCTAGGAGCATCCATGTTGCTGCAAATGGCGTTATGTTGTCGGTTTTTATGGCTGAGTAGTATTCTACATATATACTACATCTTCTTTATGCAGTCACCTATTGATGGACATTTAGGCTGTTTCCATGTCTTGGCTATTGTAAATAGTGCTGCTATGAACATTGGAGTGCAGGTGTCATCCTGAAGTAGATTCCCTTCTGGATACAAGCCCAGGAGTGGGATTCCTGGGACATATGGTAAGTCTATTCCTAGTCTTTTGAGGAATCTCCACACTGTTTTCCATAGTGGCTGCACCAAACTGCATTCCCACCAGCAGTGTAGGAGGGTTCCCCTTTCTCCACAGCCTCTCCAGCATTTGTCATTTTTGGATTTTTGAATGACAACCATTCTGACTGGTGTGAGGTGATACCTCATTGT